TTGCTTTAAGAGGGGTGGACTTCAACTCCCAGAATCCCCCAGCCAGCATTGCTTTAAGATGGTTGGACTTCAACTCCCAGAATCCCCCAGGTAGCATGCTTTAAGAGGGGTAGACTTCAACTCCCAGAATCCCCCAGCCAGCATTGCTTTAAGATGGGTGGACTTCAACTCCCAGAATTCCCTAGTCAGCCTGCTTTGTTTTAGGGTTCCCCCATGCTGGCTGGGGGAATTCTGGGAGTCCACCCATCTTAAAGCTGCTGACATTCACATACACTGCTTTGGACCAATTCTCGTGACAGATAAACTCTAATTTCGAAAGTGTATTAGAGGATCTTGGAGAGGTTTTTGGGGATGTGTGTGGAAAGGAAAGGAGATTCAGAATTACAAAAATCAGAAGGTTCAAATCCTAGACAACGTGCCAGTTTCTTGGCATGAGCGACACAAAAGCGACCACCTGGATCACGGCAAGTGGCAAAACACTTTTTTGGGGGGTGGGTGGGGGGGTTTACACAATGTAATTGTGCACACCAGTCCCAGCAACTGGTTCGGAAACGACTGGAAACCCCTTCAGAGGAGGCATTACCCCTTTAGCGCCTGGAGAATCAGTGGTGAATCTTTCATGGGGGCGAATTTCCACACTTTGAATGGGATCTAACTTTACAGAAAGCAACAACCACAAATAAAATAAAATTTGCCTAAAGCAGCAGGGGCAGTTTGAGAAGAAAAATGTAAGGAGTTGTGTGAACGCGTCCCTTCAGCATCTCTTGAGCAAAAGAGGCGATTCGGGGCATCGGTGAGAAAGGAATTCTTTGTAAGGCTTCGGAGCTGGTTTTACATCTAAACCGGGGGGTGTATGTCCAACTTTGGGCCACTTTAAGACTTGTGGACTTCAATTCCCAGAATCCCCCAAGCCAGCCATGATCATGGCTGGCTGGGGGATTCTGGGAATTGAAGTCCACAAGTCTTAAAGTGGCCCAAAGTTGGACATCCCTGGTTTAAATCCTAAAATCTTTCCTTCAGATCATTGTGATTGAAATTTGGCAAGTCAAAAGATTGGGTGGACTTCAACTCCCAGAATTCCCCAGCCGGCTTAGACAGGAATAGAGAGAGGGAAAAAACCCGCTCCTGGTATATAAAAGGCGGAAACATTGAAACCCACCCACTCACAGTTGCAATGGTGTCATTTATTTTACAAAACATTTCATTTCAAAGTGTCTTTTGTTTAAACAGAAACGTCCCCATCTTCTGGAGGGGGTTTGTTTGTTTTTTTAATTTCTTCCCATAAAAGAGAGATTTTTCCCTCAGCCCCACCAAAAA